ATCTATGGACAGCTAATCTTTGACAAAGGAGCTGAGGGCCTATAATGGAGGAAAGAAAGTCTCTTCAACAAATGGTGCTGGGAAAACTGGACAGCCACATGTAAAAAAATGAAAATCAACCATTCTTTTTCACCATTTACTAAAATAAACTCAAAGGGATCAAAGACCTAAAGATTAGGCCTGAAACAATAAGTCTTCTAGAAGAGAATATCGGCAGTACACTCTTTGACATCAGCTTCAAAAGAATCTTTTCGAACACCATAACCCCTCACATGAGGGAAACAATAGAAAGAATAAACAAATGGGACTTCATCAGACTAAAGAGCTTCTTCAAGGCAAGGGAAAACAGGATTGAAACAGAAAAAACAGCCCACTAATTGGGAAAAAATATTCACAAGTTATTTATCCAACAAAGGGTTAATCTCCATAATATACAAAGAACTCACACAACTCAACAATAAAAAATCTAACAACCCAATTACAAAATGGGCAGAGGACATGAACAGACATTTCTCCAAAGAAGATATACAGATGGCCAATAGACACATGAAAAGATGCTCATCATCACTAATCATCAGGGAAATGCAGATCAAAACTACACTAAGATATCACCTTACACCTGTTAGAATGGCAAAAATATCCAAAACCAAGAGTGACAAATGTTGGAGAGGCTGTGGAGAAAAGGGAACCCTCATACACTGTTGGTGGGAATGCAAACTGGTGCAGCCACTATGGAAAACAGTATGGAGATTCCTCAAAAAGTTAGGAATAGAAATACCTTATGACCCAGCCATCCCACTACTGGGTATCTATCCTAAGAACCTGAAATCAGCAATTCCAAAAGTTCCATGCACCCCTATGTTCATCACAGCATTATTCACAATAGCCAAGTCATGGAACCAACCTAAGTGCCCAACAACTGATGATTGGATAAAGAAGATGTGGTGTATATATATACAATGGAATACTACTCAGCCACAAAAAAGGACAAAGTCATCCCATTCACAACAACATGGATAGACCTTGAGGGTATTATGTTGAGCGAAATAAGCCAGACAGAGAAAGACGAACTCTGTACGACTCCACTCACAGGTGGTAGTTAACATATGGACAAAGAGAACTGATCGGTGGTTGCCAGGGGAAAGGGGGGTAGGGGGAGGGCACTAGGGGTGAAGTGGTGTACCTACAACATGACTAATAATGATATAATGATGTACAACTGTAATTTCACAAGGATGTTAACTTTCATAACCTTAATAAAAAAAAATGAAAGAACAATCAACCTCGTCAAATGCTGCTAAAAGGCAGAGAAAATGAGAGAGAAAACGAACAGTTTGGCAAGATATAGACCGTTGGAATGTGGGAGGAGAGGTACAAGGAGGGGTAAATTAAATGACTAGGTGGTAAATAATCTGGATCCAGGAGGGAGAAGGCTGCGTTTGGGCAGGAAGGTGACCACTGGGGGAATCTCACTAGGGTGCATCAGTAACCCTTTTTGTGGGTGATTAGAATGACAAAATCTAGGGGCAAAACTCAGGTTTTAGAAGCAAGAGCAAGGGCTGTGTAACCAAACAGCACAGACCAAATCTGGGAATGAGTCACTGGGATTTGCTGGGCTCATGGAGCACGCTGTGTCTCAGTCCCAACGGAGCCTAAAATGCCCGTGTAGCTTCTGACCTACAGAGTTAATTTGCCTGGTTTGCTTAGCTGCTGTCCTTTCCAACAGGAGTCCTCCCTGAGAGCCCCCTCCCAAGAGTGTGCTATCAAAGAGGATGACATTCCGAACTAGAGGAGTGCCATTCTTTGAGCAAGAGGATAGGAGTAGAAAAGGAAATAAGGCATAAATCAATAATGACGATACAAAGCGGAAAGCAGAAAATGACATCACAGCAGTGTAGTTAATGGGCTTAGGGGAGACTTGATGAGGTCCCACTTGAGCAGGAACTAGAAGGAAGCAGAGATCTGGACCTGTGGTGACGAGGGCCCTCCTGTGTATTCCATTAGACTAGAAGGCCTGATGTTAAAGAAAGCTTCAATTTTGAGTTTGGAAAGGTAGGTTTGGGTGGAATTGCAGAAAGCCTGCATGTCAGGTTAAGGGACTTGGCTGTATTCGCTAAAAATGAGATCCCGGGAAGGGCTGTGAACTAGGAGACGCTGTGAGGATCAGAATGGTAAAAGCATAAAAGAAAAGTAATCAAGCATTCAGCTTAGAGACTGTAACAATATGGCCGGTGAGATGTGCTCATAGCATTCAAATAGATTATGTAATTTCAAACTAACAATGTGATAGAAGGGAATATACCCATCAGGGATTTTGTGAGAATAACTTTCTTTTCTTTTTATTTGGTTTTTGCTTTTTTTGGTTTGGACTAATATTCTCCTGGAAAATGAGGACCTGAAATGTCTTCCACACACCTTACCCCAACCTGACTCAGAAGGAGAAGGAGGAAATCCCTCCTTCTTTTTTTTAATGAAAAACTGAATTCTTCTCTCCAGCCTACCTTTTTGTTCTGGCTAGATGCTCTATGATTCTATAGGCCTGAAGCAATGATAATTAAATATTCAATTTCTGCAAACTGGAGTGACTAGAAAATATTATACTTAAAATCTCTGGTCACACCCTAATGCCATTTATATGAAGACATAAAGGAGGATATTATTCAGGACTGACCACAGCTTCCAGGGCCTAGAGGAGACTTGAAGGGTGTACGTCACACTTAATCAACCCTGCGAGTCCAAGCTTGAGTTTAGCTGCCTGGAAACTTAAAATTGTGTTTGCGGAACTGGGACAGGGTTTAGCCAGTTTGGATTGAGTGCCTGTAATAGAAGAAATATGTTCCCTTGCACACAATCATACAGGAGAGAATTCTATCTAGAAATACTATAAAAACAGACTTACCAAATTGGCCAAACCTTACTTGCCTTGGCCACTGATTCTGTTGTTTTTCAGTTTACATAGTGCATTTTCTTCTTTTGTTCACTCCTCCAAACATTGCCCTAAGATTTCTTTTTTTTTTTTTTTTTTTTTGAGGAAGACTAGCCCTGAGCTAACTGCTGCCAATCCTCCTCTTTTAGCTGAGGACGACTGGCCCTGAGCTAACATCCGTGCCCATCTTCCTCAACTTTATATGTGGGATGCCTACCACAGCATGGCTTGCCAAGCATTGCCATGTCCGCACCGAGGATCCGAACTGGTAAACCCCAGGCCGCCAAGGCGGAACGTGCGCACTTAACTGCTGCCCCACCAGGCCGGCCCCAAGATTTCTTTTCTTTACCTATCTTGTATTCCCATGTTGCCAAAAAAACTTCAGTAATTGTAAAATGCCTCTTTTGGGATCTAGAAGGCTTTTGGAATTTCATATCTTCTTAAAGAAAATAACACTGAGCTGCTAAGTAAGCAGAAGTTTAAAACTGACTGAATTTTTTTTCACAAGTATTTGGATATTACTTAAAATGTAATAACACCAAGACATCTAAATTATTTTTTCATAAATTTCTGGAAACTTTACTATAAAATGAAAAACTAGCAAGCCTTCAGAAACATTATTCAGCCAGGCAGAACTCCTCGTGCAGCTTCTCTTTTTTCCTTTTTGTATTTCTCAATAAAAAGTAAGCTCTGCACCAGAAAATGGCACCCTCAACCACCCGACACGCATCTCTGCACTTATAGAGAGATGGAACCACTGTTAAACCACTGAAACCTGATAGTATCAGAACTGTGGATAAATTGAAAAATGAAAAATTCCTTAGGGGGTATTCCAAATCAAAAACTACAACTTCAGGAATAGGATTCCTTGTAGGAGTTATGCCAACTTAAGACATACTGGATACATTCATTACCAGAACGCAGCTGACACAGCCATCAGCTATAAAGTGATTATCAACACAGCTTTGATCCAAGATTTCACTGCACATTTGCAAATCATTAGCAATTATCATGGGCCAACATGGTGGCTTATATTGTACTTTCTTGGAAATATCACTCCACCCCGGTCTGCCTTTCTCTTGCTCTTTCTCTCTATCCCACAGTTGTCAGTCTCTCAAAATGATTACCAAGAGGAAGACCATATGTCAAGTTACATATTTCTGGCTCATCTAGTATTTCTTCTTATGCCACCTTTATCATATTTCTTTGGAAATTGTCAAAATTAAATTATATGTTTCTTTTCCTTTACCACTTATTTTCCCTAAATTACGTGAAGAATATAATTTTCAATTTAAAAAGGGAAACATATCAAGACAAATAAAATAGATTTTTATCAAAAGCACATGTTAAGTAATAAGAACAGAGGAAAACATCTAAACATCTTAAAACTTTCAAAGCTGGGGGGAGAGGGGGACAGAGAGAACACATTATTTCTTGTCTTCAAAACAAATTATCTTGTGAACAATCATGAAAAGGAGGTTTAGAGGGTGCCATTTAGAAGTGAGTTGTAGTTAAAACTCTGAACCCTAAGCTTCTTTTCTTATAATTGAAGATTTTGGAGAACATCTCATTTATCCTCAATATGAATTCCCTTAGACATAGAAAAATTCTTTGAAAAGAATCTTAGAATGGACCAATTTATAGAAAATCAAAAAATTTTAATCTGTATAACCATTTCCAAACTGCAAAACCAATGTTGGTGAAGAGAAAAACGTACAGGCCTTGAAGACATTTGGACCTTGCTTCTAATGCTCTGTCCCACTGCTTACTAAGTGTTTGAAATAGAGGTAATAACCCCCCGACATTGCTGGTCTGAGGATTACATGAGACAATGTCCATAAAATGGCTCCCACACAGAGTGTAAGATCCGTAGCTGGAACATGGTAAAAAAAAAGTCCTTCTATTTCCTTCCATCCCCAACCCAAACCTCGTGCCCACCCATGAAGCACTACTTTAAAACTCCCCCAAATACATTTGCACACTAGGGACACAACAACAAATTGCTGTGTAAGTCAGAAACCAATTTATGAATAAATCACAGGAACATACCATTAATATTATTCTAATATTTTAGGATATCCTCAGATGATCTCAAAAAGGGGGGAAAGATGGCTATGATGCCTCACCAGGGCTCTTCTTGGATCTTCGTCAATGAGAGGACATTCATTACCAGGTAACTACATACCTGTATTATATGTAATTCTACTCACCAGTCGTTTGTGGATTATATCCTAGCACTATGTTATTCTAAACATTGTATATGATTCACAAGATTAGTAATATGAATCACCAGCTGAGACATTAAATAAGAAGTTGAATAAATATGTTCCTAAAGACAGATAAACCATAGGCTTTCATGGAATAATCACTCATATTTCATAAATTGTGGTCTAATTTCACTAAAAGCTAAATTTCTATTTTAATAGTTTCAGTAATTCTCAGGAGCAGCATTAAGTAAAGCTCTAAGCCTCCTCATAAATAATTTATCCAAAGAATTAGCCCAGGGTCCCAAAACAGCCTTGCCTGTCCTCTCCTCTCCCTCCCTCCCTTGCTCCTCAGGACACACTTCATTTTTATTGTTTCTTTTTTAATGTTAGGTTTTGCTCTATGGCCAACATCCACAGGTGTTTTCTTATACACAGCAAATAGCATCTCATGTTGGTTTGGGAATAATAGAGCAGAAATTGAAAACTATAAAAGTAAAGATGAGAACTGAACCTGGCTGAGCTAGCGCCGAAGCTGAGAAGGGGAAAGATGAAATGTTAAGAAAAAAGGCAAGCGACATTGGAACTTGACCCATATCTTACAGGGAAGAGAAACAAAGCCAAATAAATGATAGAGAGAAGCAGATCCAAATGATACAGGATTGGGCAATAGGAAAGAAGAAGGAACAAACATGGTCAAAAATGGAATTAAAGCCACAGCTGGAGGTGAAGCATGAAATATAAGAGGTGGGAAGACGAGATGAAGAAAAAGATAGAGGATTCACTTATTCATTCCTCAGATATTTATTAATTGCTCCCTGTGGACAGGTACTCTTGTGAACCCTGAACATTCAGCAATGTACCACACAAAATCCTCACCCTCATGGGGTTGCCTCCTAAAAGGAGATACAGACAATATGTAAGATACATGAGTAACAATATGTACTATCAGGTGCTGAAATGTATGAAGAATAAAAATAAAGCTGAAAGGGAATAATGAAAGCTGGGGATGGAGAGCAGGGCGGTTATGATTTCATATGAGATAGCCAGGGAAGGCCCCAGTGAGGAGGTAGCATTAGGGGAAAAACCTGAAGGAGGTGAGCTATCAAGATGTGCAGGTATCTGGCTGGGAGCATTCCAGGCAAAAGGGACAGCAAGTTCATAGCCCTGAGGCAGGTGCATGCCTGTAAGGATGGAGGAAGCCAGCGTGGGGAAGTGAAGAGGGAAGGACAATAGGAGGAGGTAAGGTCAGAGACATAATGGGGCCAGCATATGTAGGGTCTCATAGGCCATTATGAGACTTCAACTTATAAGATGAGAAATCGTTGAAGGATATTGAGTACGTGAGTGACAAGATCAGTCTGGCAGCTGCATTAAGAGCAGACTGAAGAGGGGACAAGAGTGAAAGCAGAGAAACAATCAAGAAGCTAATAGTCCAGGGTGGAAATGATGGTGGCTTAGACCAAGGTGGCAGCAGTGTGGGTAGGAAAAAAAAATGGTCAGATTCTGGATATATTTTGAAGGAAGGGACAATAGGATTTCCTGAAGGATTAGAACTGGGGTGTGAGAGAAAGAGAATAATCAAGGATGATTCCAAGGATTTTGGTCTAGAAGAATGGAGTTAACACTTCCTGATATTATAAAGATTACAGGAGGAGCAGGTTTGGGGAAGAAGATTGGGAGTTCAGTCCTGGATGTGTTACCTATGAGGTTGATTAAGATCACCAGGGAAATAAGTGTAAATGGAGAAGATTCAAGGTCCAAGGTTAGAAAAGAGTGAATTGAAGAGGGAAAAGCAGGAAACAAGAAGGCGAGGCAGAAGTACCTTGGGTGAAAAGTGGGCAGAATGAAGGTGGAGGAACAGAGGAAGAGCAGGTAATATACTGGGTATAAGACACCACTTTGGGATGTCAAGGTACCTGAAGCACTAATGGAGATACAAGGAGAAGAGGGGAGTTGAGGAGACGGGAAATTGAAAGGAAAGACGGAGAAATTCATTTTTAAAAATATTAAGTACAGATGACAGACAATGAAGGTCAGAGAAGGTAACATCTACATAAAGCAAAAGGTAAAAAGGATAGAAAGAGAGGGGTAAGAGATGGACACAGTGACAGGATGGGCATTGTTCAGAGAACCTGAAAGATGACAGTTTAGGAAGAGGAAAAAGGTGAAGAAAAGGTGAGAGAAGGATGTGAGTGATCTGCCACAGACGCAGGCAGTGAGGTTCAAGGTAGCTAGATGATGGAGAACATGGGAGAGGTTGTGAGTAAAAGGTTAAGAGGCTCACGAGAAGAAGGCTCAGGAGGTGAAGGACAGCGTGAGAGCCCAGGACAGTAGCGGGAAGGCCCCCCTACCACATTTGCCTCCTCCCAAAGGAAATTATGGAAAGGAAGAGAGGTGTTTCCAAAGACAGTAGCCTGGGTTTACACGAGTGTTCCTTTTTGCCGATCTGCCTTCTGTGCAGTGTAAGTTTAACCAACTAGGAAGACAAATTGACCACACTGGGAGGGAAATTCCAAGAATAAAAAGTACACAACATAAGAGAAGAATGTATGATCACATGTACATATTTTCCTATTATTCCACTCTGCGTGACTCAGTTCAGTTCGTGAAATCATGATTCCTGTCTCCCCACCCCCGACCAGTACATGGCCTTTCTCACTCAAACCTTTAGACGTAAACCCTTAGGATCAGATTACACTCTAAACAGGAACCAGGTAACCCAACTAGCAATCCACAGTCCCCTGTCTGCACTCACTGGCATCTCCATGAACGAGGACCTCTCTTTCCTGACAAAACCTCAAGACAGATGCCATAGAGAAGCCCCCATGCCCTCCCTAACTCTTGTCTGCTCTTAAGAATTCTTAGTCTTACCAATCCCCGCTATTTGTACGCATGTGTTTCTCTTTATTCTCCAGGTTCCTCCTGGTTCTTGAAGCCTCAGTTTCTCTAGAGCAGCTTTCTGCCACCTTCCTGGAGCTCCTAGGTCTGTTCTGGATTGATTTATGTCGATCTCATTTGTAGCCATGACCAGCCAATGGTAACTTCTCATCCTGGATCACCGCATTCCTTTCTTTTGTTGGTCTGTGTAACCACAGTATGAAAATCAAGAATTTTCACTGAAATAGACACTTATTCCATATCCTGGTAGTTACCAGGTCAACTTTTGTTTCCTTTGTACCATGTTATAGTTTCCCAGTCTCAGCGCCTCTCTTTTCCCATGAAATCCTCCCTGAACTGCAGTAAGATTATAATTAGCCTGTTAATTACTTGGGTGTTTGCTCTTTTAAAATATTTATTTCCTAATTATGAAAGTATGATTATTTTGATAAATTGTTATATTTATAAATTTATAATGTATGTAGTTATATAAGTATAAAAGCTGAGAAAATAAACATGTAGATTGAAAGAATAAAAATTATCCATAATCTCACTAAGAAAAAAATACACTGTTTAATTTTGTCATATTCTCCATCTTCTCAGGATTCTGTTTTACGTAGTTGAGATCATACTGTATCCTGTTTTACACACCTGACATTATATTACAGATATTTCCCCACACCATTAAAAAATTTTCTTAAAGATGATTTTAATGACCTTGTAGCATTCAATGATATAGAAATGTGATAATATAATCATTCCCTTAATTTTGATCTTCAAGATGGCTCCCATTTTTTTAATACACGAGGGCCAGTTCACAGAAGTGGAGTTACTGGATCAAAGCATACAAATAAATTTAATGTTACTGCTACAGATTAACTTTCTAAAAAAGTTTGATGAGTTTTCCTTCCCACCGACAGCTTAAGGCCTCCTGGCCTGTCTTTATTGTTTCATACACAGATATTTGGTTTCCTGAGGTAAAATGTAAAGCCTGTAAGGGTAAGACCTAAGCATCTTTTGCATCCTGTTTCCCAAGGTGGGGTACCTAGGCGACTTTGGTACCTAAGAGGATTTTAGATGAAACATAAATGATTGTTTGTATTTGAACACTTACAGAAAGTATTAGGAAAATATAACCAGCAAATTAAATCTTTAATTTCACAAACATTATCACTCAGGACAAATAAAAACTTACTTAAAACAGGAGTCAATTGGAAAAATACTAAGGGACATCAGATGACACTTGGAGTTGGCCAAAATCACGAAGCAGTTTGTGACTAGTTAGGTTGAACAGCACTGCTGTTGCTCAGCTGGAATGTATTAATCGTTTCCTACATAATAGCCTTAAAGTCAGCAAATCTCATGAAACTACATATGATCAACAAAATAAGAGGCGTTGATATTAATAGCGCAGTAAGCAATATAACATTTATGTCTTACTACTTGATGAGAATTCTCTGAGTTTAGAAACTTCCCTGGGTGAAAGGTGTTGGCCTAAGTTAGCTTCATGCTCAAAGGACTGAGATTCCAGTTTCTGTTTCATTGCCTGGGGTCATCACTGCTCTGTTGCTTCGCATGGTAAATATTCTAGTGAGCTGAGTTTTAATGATTCCATATAGTTGTTTTCAAAGTGCTTTCATTTCGGGTTGTAGGCTGAAATCAGGGTGCTTTAATGCCAACCTCGTATTTGCAAAAGGTTCAAATCCAGTTTTAGAATGCAGATCTGATTTCACTCTCAGAACCTGTTAGACTTTTTTTCTCCTTAGGAATCTAATACAAACCCTTGCAGGCTGCAGCTCTTCCAACAGCAGCCCACGGAGCACGTGCGCATTCCTGTCCTTAGTAGATAACTTTAATTAGCATGATGTAATAAATTTTAGCAGAAGTGCATTATTCCAAACAGTTTCTTTTTCCAAGCCTGTTGACTGGCACCTTTTGCTAAAACAAAGGCGCCAGTCACCTGCACCTCTGAGCACAAATTCAACACAAAGAGCCAGTGTCCCGCAGGCTGCTCTTACCTGGCTGGAAGAGCCAGAGGACAACGTTTGCCCAGGTCCCACGGTCAGGGTTTTCTCTTGATCAAAGGAAC